CGCACAACATGCACCATGTGGGAGTTGATAGGATGCTGAATGTGGTAAGGAAGATTGAGCCTAGAATCACATGGGTCAAGGTTCGACAGGTGGTGAGGCGTTTAGTAGCTGTCAATCGATTGATCCTGCACCAGCTGTACATGAGGCAGGGGAAATCGGTGTGAATAATGACTAGAGGAGACTAGGAATTAATGTGATGCACTGTAGGCAGGAGTTGTACTTATCCATGGACACCTGCAGACTGGTAGAGTGGCAGTATGGGGAAGGTGTAGAGTTGAGAGTGTAGAGGAAACTGTTTTTAGAGAGAGGTTCAGTCGATGAGGTATTGATAGAGAGCAGCTCTGCCTTTTGAAGAATATGCTTGGCAAATGGGATGTTAGTCGTTTCTTTAGAGTGGCATATTGGCCGTAGAAAGACACCATTGGGTGATCAAGGTGCAGTAGATACCTGTTATAGTATATCCAAGGTCATGGCAGGATGAGAGGACTGTGCCACAAAAATCTGCTTGAGGACGAATGGAGGCACCCAAGTATGCCGATTAAGGTATTAGGGAGCGAGGTAGGTACCACTTATATTGAAACTTGGAAGAAGTGTGGGTGAAGCCACCGAATGTAAGATGCGCATCGATGTGGAGGAGAGGTACAGTGACAGAATAATGGATCAGTTGAAGGGATGCCACGGCACGTCCTGGATGTTAGGAGTGGTGAATTCTTCGACAGATGAGAAGCCAGAATATAGCGAAGATGTAGTCCTACAACGGCCACATCAAGAAACATAGACCACTACATATGAAGGATTATATAGAGGGATGATCAAGCAAGGAGAATCAAGAGCTACTCACTAGTTCTTGGTGAGTAATTAGTAGTGATCTCGAGATCAAGGGGACATGGTGTAATTAAAAGGAAATTGGCATCTCTTGAGGGGGACTGACAATGATGCGTGCTTGTTGAGGGACAGGGCAAAGAAAACGGCACATGCTTGTTGAAGAAGAGGCAAAGAAAATGGCACGTGCTTGTAGAGGAAGGGGCAAAGAAAATGGCATGTTCTTGATGGGGGACAGCAAAGAAAAAGGCATGTGCTTGTTAGGGAACGGGGCAAAGAAAACGGTTCATGCTTGTTGAGGGAGGGGCAAAGAAAATGTCATGTGCTTGTTGGAGGACGGAGCAAAGAAAATGTTGCATGCTTGTTTGCTGATTCTGGACACAATCGGTAGAGAAAGAAAAATGTGTATCGTTACTGGAGATTTCAATTTAGATTTATTAAAGGCTGATTGTTGTAGCCACGTACAAAACTCAATTGCTGCTTTCCAAACCAATCTAATCACTAAGCCCACAAGAACTACACCAACATCAGCTACGATCATTGACCATCTGCGGAACAATAATCCATCATTAATAAGTGACAACTCTATAATCTACACCCAAATTTCCGATCATCTTCCACCCGTAGCATCCTTTAAAACCCGGTTACAGCCACCAGCTACATCTAATTCCAAAATCTTTCGGCTAGTAACAGATGAGAAATTAGCACAGCTTAAGGAAGCCATGTGTGACATTTCATGGGACCTGGTTGCAGGCTGTATAATCACTAATGTGATGTTGGATAATTTCAATACGATTTTTAGAGCTTGCTTAAATAAATAGTTTCCCGTAAAAGAAAAAGTATTAGACAAAAATGTCCAAGAAAAGACATATATAACAAACGAAATTAAAGCTTTAATCAAGGAAAGAAACAGAATTCACAGATAATTCTCGAAACAACCAATTACCTACGGTAATCAGTTCTGTAGACTTAGAAATAGAGTTACACAAATGGTTAGAACAGCCGAGTCAAATTATTATAAACCCAAACTTATAAAAAACCAAGGTAACAATAACAAAACATGGCAAACAAATAAACCTATACTAAATCGGTCTGGTCGTAAACTCCTGCCAACCGAAGTAAATATAAATAACGGTTACCTGATAAACAACCAGGACATAGTAAATGAATTTAATAATTACTTAACTAATGTTGGTTATAACCTGGCTTCGCAAATATCTGTTGTTCAATAAGATTTGGGAAAAGTTGATTTATAACAGACTAAAAAGTTTTTGTAACAGTAACAACTTGACATCCGACTCCCACTATGGCTTCCAGGAAAATAAGTCCATGGAAAAAAACACTAATATCAAGATCCTGCAGTCATTGGATAAAAAATATTTTACTCTAGGTATTTTCCTTGATGTCTCGAAAGCCTTTGATACGGTCGACCCTCAGATCTTACTTTCTAAGCTCGACCATTACGGAATACGAGGTTCTACTCATTCACTTCTAAAATCTTACTTGTCAAACAGGAAACAATTTGTCCAATACAATGACTGTAAATCCTCAAATTTACCCATTTCAAGGCTCTATCTTAGCCCCCCTGTTATTTTTGCTATACATAAATGACATGGTTAATTCGAGCACTTTCCTCAATTTCCTCTTATTTGCTGATGATTGTACTCTTTATGCCACT